GGCACCCCCCATTCAAGCCCATGTTCCCCCGGACCCCCGACACTGCCACCGGGCGGCGAAAATTTGCCAGTACTGGCACAGAAAAACCGCTCGCCCGTTCAACAATTTTTGGGTTGTGGTTGGAGGTAGACACGAAACCAAAGCCACAGCGGGTTTCCAGCCCTCAGGCAGCACCAAGGCGCTAGGCCTCACTTGGCCTAACCTACCCCTAAACCCTAACCCTAACCCTAACCCTAACCCAACACCCCAAGCTAGGTTGTGGTGCTGCAGTGGGTAGGCCTAGGTCGCTGTACCGAGCTACTGGCATGCGGTTTTTCTGTGCCAGTACTGGCAAATTTTCGCCGCGGGACACCGCCACCCCCTGTTCCTACTTCCTTGCCACCTGCAACCACAAGGGCCAAGCCCTCCCCCCTCAGCACTCCCGACACCGTATCGAACAGAAATCCGCTTTCCACCGAAGTGGTTAGGTTAAAGCTGTCGCACGCATATTTCGGCGCACAAACGTCTTTGCGGCATTGCTGATCGATACTGCCACCGGTCACACCAAGAGAGAAACACCCGCCGTGTTGCTCTTTCTGAGACACCCCCCACTCAAGCCCATGTTCCCCCAGACCCCCGACACTGCCACCCCTTGTTCCTAGTTCCTTGCCACCTGCAACCACAAGTGCCAAGCCCTCCCCCCTCGGCACTCCCGACACCGTATCAAACATAAATCCGCTTTCCACCGAAGTGGTTAGGTTAAAGCTGTCGCACGCAGATTTCGGCGCGCAAAAGTCTGTGCGGCATTGCTGATCGATACTGCCACCGGTCACACCAAGAGAGAAACACCCGCCGTCTTGCTCTTTCTGAGGCACCCCCCATTCAAGCCCATGTTCCAGACCAATTGTCTTACCGATTAATAAACGTGTAGAGCACGAGGAATGGTGCCCCATGTAGTGTGGGCCGAGGGTGTAGCCCTTACACCCTGGACAATACTTGGGCTAATCGAACACTGGTCTAACCATGAAGTGGTTGAAATTTCGACAGTCGATACGTATTTACAGTAATCAATATGATGGTTCCGGGTGCATCGACATGTAGAATGTTGTGATCACGATAGATTGAAACAAAAGACGCGAACACAATTTTGCTCCCGCGATAGGATAGTCTAAACTACAAGTCTTCGATACGTATCGCTTCGACCAGCAAGCTTTCAGTTGTTCGTCGATGGATATCGCAAGGTACGATGTGTTTTTACCGAATTCGAGATGTTGGAGCAACAATTCGTTGATGATCGTAGCGATCAATATCTATCTATCGTTCAAACACTAGGTTAATACATATCGTACGCTGTATGTACTATATCAACACGAAAGAAAACACGCCCCCAAAACTTTTTCGCGCTCCGCGCGAAATCAATTTTATGCATGAGCAGGGTTACTGTGAACGCCTGGAGAACGAACCAAAACAAACGAACGGACGTATCGGTTGCCTGGCACGCATACCGATCGATACCCTCCGTCTGCACTGAGTCATGCGATATCATTTACCATTTCCACCAACACATCATTGCTTATCCAATGTATCTATGTTGATCGATTTTCTCCGAATATATATATTGAAACCAAACGATATCAATTTGACACCGTTTGTATACATATCTCTTCGTAGCAATATGTAGGAAGATATTCTCCCGGTGTATTGAACCCATCAATACATATCGATTCCAACTTTTAGCATGTATTGATGGGAGCAATATGCATTAAATACCATATTGTCCAGGGTATGATTTGTAACCATGCTGTACTTTGTCGAGCGAAAGTCACGCTAGAAGGTTTCCGGGCGGTGTCGATGGAAATCGGTACTGCAACCACGTGGCACCACTACGTCCCTTTTCAGAGAAGAGTCGCTGTCTCCCCGGCCCGCTATTATTAAACTTCTTTCAAGAGGCGGTACACACACGTAGGTAGAGATGGGGCTGCTTGCTGGCTCCGCGAGGCAAGTTCATATCTTTGAGTTTGTCTACGTGCCATCCGTGCACAGAGCAAGTAGCTTCACAGGACGAGCGCATCCGAGTGCAATGTGGGAGCTCGTTCTTCCCCGCGAAAGGTTTGTACCACCAATTCCGCATCAAACACGAAATACGTCGTGAGGGGTCAGATCACACACGCGCACTTTACGGCACATGTTTCATACTGGACAACGCGGATAGCGGCCGGACTCAGGCAATACCGAACGCTGCATGCTGCAGACCGTTCCCAACGACACGTGAAAGCATCGCGTATAGCATTCACGAACAGACCAAGCACGCCGAAAAAATGGGAACGGGAACAAAGCACGTCATCCCGCCGAATCCTCCGACGTTTATGATTTTTTAATTTCCATTCGAGGCACACACGGCGTAAGGCAGACTCTCGAGAGCTAGCCTACCGACCGGACAGCGTCACAAGTTGGCGTCGCCCAATCCTGCACCTTGGTTTTCTACGACCCGTTCCACCGCAAGCAACCGCAGGTTCGCTAGCAATAGGTACAGCGACGGAGTATCAACAAGGCCGAGTCACGCTTCTTCCGAGAAAAGTANCATTCGAGGCACACACGGCGTAAGGCAGACTCTCGAGAGCTAGCCTACCGACCGGACAGCGTCACAAGTTGGCGTCGCCCAATCCTGCACCTTGGTTTTCTACGACCCGTTCCACCGCAAGCAACCGCAGGTTCGCTAGCAATAGGTACAGCGACGGAGTATCAACAAGGCCGAGTCACGCTTCTTCCGAGAAAAGTACGAAGTGAAGATCGGCCAGACCAAGAAAATATCTACGCCTTCTTCTTCTTCTGCTTCTCAAGAAGCACCTTCTTCACGATCTTTTGCTCCTCGATCAAGAAAGCGCGCACGACCCTGACGAGAGCAAAACAATTGCACCAGAGCACCACACGAAACAGGGCAGCAAACAGAAGCGCAGAGGCCAGAGGATGTGAGCTACTATTATAGACGCCAAAAGTCGGTCGGTAGACAATCAATCACAGCGAATGAAAAAAGCACGCTCCTCTCGTCAATCAATTAAGAGAAAACAAAATGACCGAGAGCTGATGGCTTGCCCCGTACATAACCTCGGCTCAAATACGGACACAGGAGTTGGGACAATGTTGCGAGTCAAGATGTAACAAGGTGAGCGCTTATTCCATGAGAGAGTTGCAAGTTCTGCAGCAGCGGAAACCTTCGAACGGACGTATCTTCCTAANTTTTTTAATTTCCATTCGAGGCACACACGGCGTAAGGCAGACTCTCGAGAGCTAGCCTACCGGCCGGACAGCGTCACAAGTTGGCGTCGCCCAATCCTGCACCTTGGTTGTCTACGACCCGTTACACCACAAGCAACCGCAGGTTCGCTAGCAATAGGTACAGCGACGGAGTATCAACAAGGCGGAGTCACGCTTCTTCCGAGAAAAGTACGAAGTGAAGATCGGCCAGACCAAGAAAATATCTACGCCTTCTTCTTCTGCTTTTCAAGAAGCACCTTCTTCACGATCTTTTGCTCCTCGATCAAGAAAGCGCGCACGACCCTGACGAGAGCAAAACAATTGCACCAGAGCACCACACGAAACAGGGCAGCAAACAGAAGCGCAGAGGCCAGAGGATGTGAGCTACTATTATAGACGCCAAAAGTCGGTCGGTAGACAATCAATCACAGCGAATGAAAAAAGCACGCTCCTCTCGTCAATCAATTAAGAGAAAACAAAATGACCGAGAGCTGATGGCTTGCCCCGTACATAACCTCGGCTCAAATACGGACACAGGAGTTGGGACAATGTTGCGAGTCAAGATGTAACAAGGTGAGCGCTTATTCCATGAGAGAGTTGCAAGTTCTGCAGCAGCGGAAACCTTCGAACGGACGTATCTTCCTAAAACAACAGCGTAGAACCACAGCGTTCGGCGATTAATACTGCTCTGTCGCAACCATACCACTCACAAAACAATGAGAGGACTGCCGCGATAGTCTTTGGTAGGTTAACACAACGGAACTGCGTATCCTGCTACTGCAACACTGTCATCAGCCGCAGAGAAGAAAAAATAAACGCGCCATCTTGTAATCCCTCGACCATTCGTAGAGAACCAAGGCCCGCGCGCGTCTCACGATCGCCTCTTCGGCACTGGAACCCTTCCATGTGTCCGCATACACAAACTTATAACTGATTCATCTCATTGGTAAGCCGGCTAGCGCCGTGGACATCATCAAGACAAACAAACACACCACAAACAGAGTGGTTTAGCGTGCAACGAAGAAGCCTCGTCACTCACCGCTGCCGCACGCAAGGCGCGCAGAGCGACCCTCCGTACGCGCGAGACACGGTCTTTTGGCGCTTCTTGAGGTTCTTGTACTCCTTAGGGCGCAAGTGCTTGATCTGCGGCGAGCAGAGGGCGAGAAACAGAAGAGTCAGAGGAAGAGCAGGCAGGGAGGGAAGACCATGGGGGTTGTCAGAGGACATGACATCCCAGCATCAAACTGCACCGCCACCATCAGCTCCATCCTTCTAACTCCGCGCCGTGAACGAGACGCCCTTAATCGCCTTCGCAACAATTCGCAACGACACACCTCTGCGGGTTGCTACTAACACACCGACGCAACAAATTGAGGCGTCAGGCCGAAGAAGGGGAGGGGAGACGCAGAGGACCCACGGCCACTACTTTTCATGGCCAGATGGGAGGATGGGGTATCCATGTGCCGACAGCAATGGATTCTTGTTTGGGCCGCTACCATGGCAGATTTCCTGCACGGACGCACAATGGGGACACGCGCGCAAAATCAACGCGCAGGAACAACAAGGGCGCTGCATGTTCGCATCGCATTGCAGGAGGGTCTAGAACAACGTCGTTTCGGAGAATAATGACGGGCAGAAGGTTGCGTGTCCCTTCGACACACCCAAACACACCAACCGAAGCCGGTCAGCTCGCGCTTGTAGCACATCCGGGACTCCAAAACCGTCTTCTCTACACCAAGAGTTCCACGAAACGTGTTCCCTGTTGACGTTTCACAAACGGTGGCGAACTGCACCGCAACTCCTCGTCAGTGGTAACCAAGAAAAAAATAAACGTCCGCAACAGCGGTCTATTTTCTGCCACTACAGCGTCCCGCTGTTGAGACCCTCATCCTCGCGAAACCTAGCCGGCTCTGGTTTCCTCTTGTACGTCTTGAATGCTGTTGTGAATGTGTACACCACCTTACGGCACGGATGCCACGGACAGAGAAAACAAGCGGCATTGTCAACCAGAGGCAGCGTGACTGCCGAAAAAACTCACCCCGGGGAGAGAGATGTTGCAGCCGGCGTCGGCACAGATGGGGCCCTTGGCGGACTTCTTGAGGTAGTGAGCCACAAGCTTGCCCCCGGGCGTCTTCACGGCCTTTGCCTTGTTAGACTTGGTGTGGTAGGCATGGCGCCTGGTGTACGTTATGCGCCCGTCCCCGCGAACCATCTTTTCTAACCGCCGTGTGTGGTGTCGATAGCGTTTGATTCATTCATCCGGGCAACGAAAGCACAGCCGCCGCCAAAAGCGAAGGAGACGGAGCGAGGCAGAGAAGCGGCGAGACAAAACGGGTCGCGTAAGCCGCGAGTTGTACGGGAAAACTGACGCTGTAGATGAACTTACGAACTTATCAGGTACTTGGACGAGCAGTAAGATTATGTGTGCGCACAGCGTGACCAGTGTCGTAATTTCTTTCTTAACAGCACTTTGGAAGCGTTGAGATTTGAGGTTGTTCGCGGCATCGTGCGAGGGTTGTCGTCGAAGGGGACTGCTTTCGTGCCGCATTCGGCGCAACACAGGGTGTATGCATCCCGTGGGCAGACTTACCCGACTCCTGCGCTGAATCTACGCGTTTGGTGCTCTCTACAGAGTAGAATACGCAGGGAATGGCTACCTTGCCGAGACAGAGCGTTTACAAAAGCACTTCGGTAGGGCTACAGCAGTTGAGCTGTCAGGGGGATGTTGATGTTCCTTTGCATATATATTCTTAAGGGGACATGGCGTGCACCCGAAACGGTCTGTGGTATCGTTTCCTTTACGTAAGACGATCAACATGGCGGAGAGCGCGCGCGAGCGGGCGGGGGGGAATAGCCACGCAAGCAGCAACAGCAGCAAATGACTTTACTGTCAGCAGCAGCGTAAACGCCAGGCACCACGCAAGCAGCAATGATTCAACGATGGCACTACGTGCCTCGCGAGGCTGCTGTCTCCGTCGTGCTTGCTCTACCCTTTGTTGGCTTCGGACGAGCGAAGTGCACTACTTCCCTCACAGTTGCTTTACAAGGTGTTTCCTCCGTACGCGTCCAACAGCAGTTTCTTTGGTAACAGGAAGTCAGCATTTCCTACAGCCTCAGCGAATCCTGGGATGAACGAGGCTTGGCGACTGCAACCTGTGTGGCGATGCCTCTCTGATCGTCTTGTGCATCTTGTGGGGTGCACTCTATCTCGCGCTGCTGCCTTCAGACAGCACAAAAAAAAAAGAGTTCGCCAAGATTTTCAAGGTTACAAAGAGGGAAACACGCTTTCATAACCGTAACATCACCGGCACCGCTAGAGAGTCAACCGATCGGCACCCTCCCCACTGGCATAGAAAAGGGTGAAGGGGGTGTAAGAGGGAGGTTGCCGCGCTAACGCCGAGCGTCAACCACCAAAACCTCCAAACCACGAACCAATCCTCGTTTGCTCTGCTCCCATCCACTCCCTCATCCAAAGCGACATGATTAGCAACGTTCGGTTTTAGTTCCAGACTCCTCAACGACATATCACCAAACGTTCTTCCTCTTTCCCCCTCCACCCGAGAGTGCCTCACCTTTGTCTGTCCAGCACACGTGCCTGCCCTGGAAATGTGGCCACAAGCAAGGCCCGACCCACCAGCGAATGGCTGGGTCTGCACAGATAGTATTACGTAATACCAAGGTGATCGAATTGTGAGCCTCCTGCGGAGCCTCTCGCCCTGACGACACGCGAAATTGCTGCTAGGAATCGCCGGCTCCGAATCGCTTCTTGCTCACGCAATCGCTCTGCTTCCCGCCTTTTTCCGGAGAGGGCCAGCTGACCGCCCCTCACAGGTGACAGGGATCGTGCGATTACGCTGTCGATCCGTTCTTATCGCAAGTTCTTGACCCGTTCTCGCTGAAGGGTCGCGTGGCGATTCAACCTTTTCTTCAATCTCCCTTCCAGTGCTCTCGGCAACAGTTGAGAGCAAAATAATATGCCGAGTTGATACGCCAACAGACGCTGTAGTGAGGCGCGCTGGTACAGAGATCGAGGCGATCAGGCGTAGATTCGCACGTTCGACCTTTGATCTTGCATCCCATTCAGCTAGCGACCCTCTGACTCCCTCCAATCGTGATCAGAGGCGCCTCTTTTGTCTTCTCGTCGCGTTGAAATGAGGTCTAAATATACATGTTCTCTGTTTGTTTCGGCCCTCGCCTGCTGTGTAGAGCGAAGCCTGTGTCCCTCCCTCCCACAGGCGAATGTAGTGATCATATGCCCCATCAACAGCAGGTGCTTTTCTGGTGTGGGCCCCGTATGTCTTGCGCTCCTCGCGTCCACCTGCGTGGAGTTTATTTTCTTCAAATGACACGATGCTCACTCGTTCCTCAACCGGCTCTCCTGCTCCTAAAAAAACTCTCCTTTACCGCAAGCAGTCAAGCAGCCAGCATCCCCCCTCGATTTGGCCGGCCCCCTTCCGGAAACACAAGCAACACGAGGGCTCAAAAGCGCCAGAAGGTCAGCCCTCCGCCGCCGCCATCCCCCGAAGACCCGGCTTTCGTCTCGGACCAGCAGCAGCAAGAGATGGAGGATGACCAGGGGAGCGACAACGAGTATGACTACGAGTACGAGGACGATGACATCGACGACGATGACATGGCGGCCGGCGGCGGAGACTCCGGAGGCGGCAGCAGCGCGAGCGGAGGCGGCGGCGGTACGGCGGGGGGGTCAGGGAAGGGCGCCCGGGGCCGGGGGGGCTCGTCCGCCGCTGAGGCGGAGGTGGACCTAGCCCTCAGGGACGACACCGCGGTAGCCTTCATCGACCAGGCGCAGCTCAAGGTGCTCATGTCCAAGGTCGTGTCTGACATCAGGTAACTCCATGGTATGATACACTATTTGCAGTTTACTATGGTATCTACGATAAACTACGTTGTGCTGCTGTAGCTGCTGCTTTGTTCAGGGCCGGCTCTCTCGGTGTTTGATTTTTCGTTGCGTCCCAGCGGGACGCGGTATGCTCATGTTTTTATCGCGACTTTGGCTTAGTGCTCAATATATTTGCGTTGGGCAGCTGTTGCGGTGGAGACGACTCTGGCCGTAGCGCGGGCGTTAGGGTGTTGGTTGACTCAAGCCGCGACATAAAACACAGCGGGGCAGCAGCCGTCCAACAGCTATTATAGCTGCGGATGAACGTCAAGGCCGGGAGGCCTTCGCCGCTTGTTGGCCCCTACCGCTCTCGTGGTTGCAGGCTTGAAGTCAGTGGAGCCCTCAGCCAACGATGGAGAGAGACATCGGTACACAACAGCAGCAGCAAAGAGTTTTTTTCCATGTTAGAAACCACCACACGGCTGTGCTACCGCAGCGTCCCGAATGTTTTCCGGCCTCCTTTAAAACACAACAGTTCAATTGCTCGTTCCATGCGTCGGGCACGTGGGTCGCCCAAGAATGTAAAAAAGCGGCATGCCGAAGGCGCGTGTGTTACACCTCGAAGCGGGAAAAGCTCCCCGCAAGTCTTGACCGACAGACATCGCCGGCAAACTCAAGTCAAAAGCGCCTGGTGGCCGCCCTATCTAAAAGCAGGTGCTTCCCTTTCACAGACCACTCGGTCCATTGCACAGCGTAGGCTTTGTGAGTGGAACCGATGTTGGATTGCTGCTCCTCTGCTGTTGCTGCTGCCTATGGTGTCGGGCATCGAAGACCGACGATTTTCGTGTGCAGTAGAAGCACACCCAGCGGTTTGGCGCCTCCCCTCCGGAGCGAGGCCCGCGTTGTGTGCTACATGCATACCCCCCCTACCCTTACCTTGAGGCCCTTCCTCGCGAGCGGTTCGTGCGGTCGAGACCAAGGTGACACCGCTATCATGACGCGGGGCGGGCGACCACCGGCAACGCTAAGACTAACGCAAGGTTAAGGTTTCGACCCATGCTGGAAAAATGATGCACGGCATGGGGACGTGTGTTGCAGAGCAGAGTCTCGCGTTGGCTGTTTATAATGTTTCAAAATCATCCGCTGGGGATAGTTTGTGATTTAGGTTACTTTGAGCGGGGTTGTTGCTGCTTGGGGCAAAGCAGCCGACATTTCCTGTTTCAAGGGCACGGATGGGGGGCCAACGATTGAACGTTTTCCGTAAGCAAAGCGAGTGCTCGCAAATAAGGCCTGGCCAATTTCGAAACACGCGGGCTGGAAAGAAGGCGAGCGCTTTTTTCTAGGCATTGCTGGGTGTCCTCTCCGAAGAGCGTAACCCTGTGCAGTATTGCATATTGTGCTTGCTTAGGGGTAGGTTAACTAGTACCCTGTGTTACAGTAGTACGTGAGAGGGCGAGGCAACCGAGCTCACCGCACGTAAAAGCCCCTCCCCCCTTCCCTCGTGGTACGTAGTCCAGCAGCTAAGGCATGCAAAGCATGAGAGTATACACCCCCTCCTCCTCCCCCCCATTCACTCGTGTCGTTCTGCGTCGTGTGGTTCGTAGCCCCTGACCTTCACCCCCCCCCCCCCCC